CTGGTCTAGTGGAAGGTGTCCCTGCCCATGGCAGGGGGTGGCACTGGGTGGGCTTTAAGGTCCCTTCCCACCCAAACCAGCCTGTGAGTCTATGATCCTCAACCTCAAGCAGCAGCAGCAAGACCAGACCAGACCAGGCAGCGAAGCCTCCAGTGGCTGCAGGTAACGAGAGAGGTGGCATCTACACACCTTTCATTAGGTCACGGGGGCATGATGGACAAAGTCCTGGAAGAAGAGTGCAACTCCCGAGCTGGGAGAGGCTCGCCTGGAGGGATGGCCACGGGCACCAACAGCCCGTAGGTCCCGGCAGCTCTCCCGAGGCCACACTCGCGTTGGCGTGAAACCAGAGAATCACCCCAGCTCAGCATCAGCTGCCCACTCCCAAGGATGGCTGTGAAAAACCAGTTTCTTCCCTGCCCCACAGCACAACAGCTCTCAGGGTAACAAAGATGACACCGAACAACTGAAGAGACAACTCCCTTTCAGCCCCAGATGCTTCCGCGGGCCGTAGGTGCAGCGATGGCAACCGAGGTCCTGCCGGTCTCTGTAGGGCTGCATCTGCTGCTGCCTCCTGTCCCTCGGGGTGAAATGCCACCCGGCCCTTTCCGAAAACAAACGAGGAGAGCTGAGCCTCCTGGACAGCGTCTGTACTCTTGACGTTAGTTTTTAGGGAAGAAGGCCAAGAGCGGGAGCCGCTGGATGACACGCGCCACTGCCATCAGCCGCCCGACCTGCGCGCAGAGGAGCGTTCGGTTTGCTTCAGCGGGTCACCCCAGGCCCCACCTACCCCACGGCGTGCAAGATGCTGCTTTGTTTTATTCAACCTAATTCCAGTACTGCCAAAAGCCCTAAATTCCTTCCGGCACACTCTCAACGTGGAAAATATCCTCTATTTTGAAGAGTGCTCGGGGAGTAAATTTGAAATATGCTTCAGGTGTGCAAGTTACGCTGAAATTATTTTAAGTCTAGACAGCTTCCCAATTGCAATCTCACGGTCCTGCACCTCCAACAGCTACGCCTGGGAAGCCTGCTAAGATACCCCCTCCTCCCGTCACCAGATAAGGTTTCCCTGGGAGGCTGAAGTTATCTTAATCTGCAGAAAGCCATCCGACTCAATACTTCCCTCCCTTTTATTATTCCCTGAGTCAACGGTTAAAATTAAGACTTTCCAGGACACGCCTTCGTTTTTTTTCCAAGGGGGCTGCTTCCACGGGCCGTTAATTACAGACTAGATCTATCTCCATAAAAACTGCTGAAGAATGGCTCCTCTGAGCCTGTGCAGAACTCCTGATTAACCCCCCAAGTATCAGATTGCGACGTTCCCTTGCTGGAAAACAACCTGGGCATGTTCCGGCAACCGCTCCGCTGCTGCCCGGGCACTGCTCTCCAAGGGGGGCCCCAAAGCTGCGACATTTCAAATTTTTTTGACCTTCGCAGAGTATTTTTTGCAATGCTGTTGAAAATGGAGATAGCCACCTCTCCCATCTTACTGGAAAAGATGCTGCTGAAGGGGTTTTCTAGTTATATGGCAAGTAATAAACATGTTTGAAGCTCAACTGAACAGGGCCAGACGATCTCCTTCCCTCACACAAAGGCCCAAGCGTCACCGTAAAGCCTAGAAACATGCAGAAGCGCTTTCTAATGAGACAAAAAGCTTTAAGACGGTGATGGATCGATCCCCCAAAACACTGCTTTCCCGGGACACCACCGCTCGTGACGGATGCTGCAGCTCCTGCAAACCCCGCTGTTGATACCGGTCGGTCCTGAGGAAGTCTCGGGAATCACAGGCTGGTTTGGGTTGGGAGGGACCTTAAAGCCCATCTAGTTCCAACCCCCCTGCCATGGGCAGGG